GGCCTTTATGGAAGAGTGGCAAGAAGAAAGACATTTCTCAAAGATATCCATAAAAAGTGTTGTTTAAAGTTTGTCACAAGCACATGGGAGACACACCAAACATGTGGAAGAAGGTGCTCTGGTCACATGAAACCAAAATCCAACTGTTTGGCCACAATGCAAAATGATATGTTTGGAGTAAAAGCAACACAGCTCATCACCCTCAACACACCAACCCCACTGTCAAACATGGTGGTGGCAGCATCATGGTTTGGGCCTGCTTTTCGTCAGCAGGGACAGTGAAGATGGTCAGAATTGATGGGAAGATGGATGGGGCCAAATACAGGACCATTCTGGAAGAAAACCTGTTTGAGTCTGCAAGAGACGTGAGACTGGGACGGAGATTTATCTTCCAACAAGACAATGATCAAAACATAAAGCCAAATCTACAATGGAATGGTTCATAAATAAACGTATCCAGGTGTTGGAATGGCCAAGTCTAAGTCCAGACCTGAATCCAACAGAGAATCTGTGGAAAGAGCTGAAGACTGCTGTTCACAAACGCTCTCCATCCAACCTCACTGAGCTCGAGCTGTTTTGCAGGAAGAATGGGCAAGAATTTCAGTCTCTCCATGTGCAAAACTGATAGAGACATACCCCAAGAGACTTGCAGCTGGAACTGCAGCAAAAGGTGACGCTACAAAGTATTAACGCAAGGGGGCTGAATAATATTGCATGCCCCACTTATAGTTAACTTATACAAGTTATATTCTTATTTTAAGTTTAAAAATGAACGCCTCTGTACTCTGAGGATGTGGTTTCTAAAAGTTGAGAAACATTGCGGAGAAAATCAACAGAAACCTTTAAAATCATTGCTGGTAAAATATTTAGCTTCACCTGAGAGAGATTAAAATGATAGATCATGGTTGACAAAGCCAGAAACAATAGTGAATGCCTTCATAGCTATATTTATAGCTTTACCTGCAATAAGCCGAGGCCACAAGTCTCTGGGACTTCGTGGCTCAGGTGAAATGTTTGGAAACCACAGTAGGAGCGACTGATTGGATCTTAAGACTCTTAAACAAACGAGGTTTGAACTAAATTCAGTTGAAGTTAGGAGGATGTCTCAAAGATTTGACTCAAGTTTAGTGCAGATACCTTTGTTTATATGCAGGATATGGATGGACGATGATCTGGAGAGTATGAACACCCCCAAAGCCTTAAGAAAAACCTTTCTAGTAGTGTCCTGATGCATGCTCAATAATCCAGGTAGATGAATCCAACTAGATGGAGTCAGGTCCTCTGGACAGATTCTTCTTTGTTCAAATGTTTCGTCTTTTATCCAAAACTCTTCTTCAGTCTGAGGAGCTGCAGTAAACTCATCTTATAAGCAGAACCTTCACGAAACGATGAACCGTTTCAACAAAGAAGAATCCGTCCATTGGACCCGACTCAAACCTTGTTAACTTACTGATCATTAAAAAAGTTGTCTTTATAAAATGAGCATCTATTTGTTGTTGTTTTGACCATAATTAAATAAATTGTGCTAGAAACTCTTAATTTATGATGCAAAGTTTAAAAAGTAAAAACTAGATCCTGCAGCTTTAGCTTTGTGAAACACTGCGTTTTATACAGAAATGACTCTTAAGCAACAAATAAACATTCAGTGGATTTTTTCCTCCCATATACAATTATTTAATAAAGTTAATAGTACATGACAGTACTGTACCGGTTTATCTTCCAGCAGAAAAAAACCTGCCCAATCTTCAGCGATTGATAACAAAAAAACAAAACAAAGCAACCGTTATAAATACCCCCCAGAGCCCAAAGAAAAATCTTCCTGATCACTTAACTCAGTCTTTGTATAAAAATCAACAAGTAGACAAAAATATATATTATCCAAAATAATAAAATTAAGTGCCATAAACAAAATGGACACACTCACAGTGCATCATAATGATTTTACACAACAATGCAATCAAGTGCTCTTCAAAACAAATTAGAACATGCAAACTACAGGAATCTTCACGCTGAATTGTAAACTTCATCTGGGACATGAACTTCAGACATTCCAGTTTCTCCCCACAAACATTGAGAGAGAAAAAAACAAACAAGTGAATATGTCTTTGGGTTGTTCTTCATCTCGGTCTCTGAAGGATTAAACTCCGTTCTTCACCAGCTCATGGACTCCGCGCTCGTCGATCATCAGGGCAGGACGAAACTCGCAACCATTCACCAACCGTTCAAGACCCTTGAAGGAGAAGGAAGACCATCAGGACACGAACGGCTCGGCTGAACATCTCAACTCCTCAGACCTCACCTCTCCTCCGTACGACACCAGCGGGGAGATCTCACATTTGATCGGCAGGTCTGTTCCATCCTTTAGACTGCGTTGGAGAAGACACATTTAAAGAAAACCCAGAATGAGGGACGGTCTCATACAAAAAGGCAGAAGGACGGTAGCAGAGAAAAGCACCAGTAAATCCTGAAAGCAGCTGTTCTCTTACTAAGCCTCGTCATTGGAAATAAAAGGACAATCATCAGAGAGCCATTACAACCATTAATCCTCAGCCCCGTTAATCTACATCCTTGAAGAAAACGGATGGTTGGTAATGTGCCTGCGTCTCCACCTAGTGCTTTGAACAAACTGGGGAGTTTCACAACACTGCCATCACTCATTACCTTTTCTAGATCTTCATTTTAGGCAATAATCACAGAAGCCACATCTGAGTTTCAGATGTTAAGACTGAGAAAGAAGCACTCCTGTAAAGAGCTCCAAGAACATCTAACATCAGAAAAGCACATGCTCGGATCTCTCAGTCTTAACAGGCAGGAAGATTTGAACTTATTGCAGAATATTGAACAAAAATCAACAAGTTTTTTGAGATATTGTAGAAAATACGACTGGTTTCCATTTATCCAGTATGTTGTATGCATGAGCACATCCTGTACGCATGCATCATAAAGAATAAATGTTCTGTTATTCAAATCAGTCAACTTAAGATCCTTGCCACCAACTGTCTTTATTTCCATTGGATTATAAAGAAAAAAGGAAAAAGGTTGCCATTTGTTTCTTTTGCTCGGTGGAAATAAAGGGTGCCAAGGATCAGAATGAACGTCAGAGCGTTAAAATATCCGAGGAGGAGGGTTTAGAAAGAGCCAACACCCCATCACCATGCGCTCAGTACAGTAGGAGGGTAATTACTTCCTGTCGCCATCGTCTGTGACGCTGCCTGCTGCTTCGGCTCTGGAAACATTGTTCAGGAAACACAGGTGCAAGTGTGAGAGTGAGAGAACGAAGGTAAACATGACGCCCAAAACACAGAGCGCCTTAAATAAAATACAGTAGTCCCTTGTTACTTTGCGGTTCGACTTTTGTGGACTCGCTCTGTCGTGGTTTTTCAAAGTAAGACTGAACATGAGGGAAAAAAATGGTACAGGACACACGATTGTCAACTTTAATATTACTCGCGTGATACAGTAAAAAGTTGAGGAAAAAATAAAATACTTGGGTCAGGTGGCACCATTTTGTAGTTTTCTCTCAGTAAGCCTTCAATGTATTCCTGCACATAACTACATTCCCCAGAAGCCAACAGGGCCCCGCCCAGAATCTCCATTTCTTTCTGCTGAAATACTAAAGGGAAAGTTTTGATCTGAGTGTAAAAAGTTTGGCGCTTATTACAGTGACTTGGTGCCCAGCAGGTGTAGAGAGCCGCACGGAACCCAATGAAATGGACCAGAGCAGAACTGGACCTCCAGACCCATTGGTGAATCTTGAGAGCTGGTAGCCAGCCCACAAGGACTTCCAAGCGGGACGCGTGCCGCCGAAGGTACGGCGCGCCATCCGGAGCTCACAGGGACTTTTTTCATCTTTCTGACCACTCAATCAGACCACTGATCCCACGCCGGCCACACAAGGTCCCCCCCACCGGGACCTTTTTCATCTCGTTCAACCGGCCCACAAGTATATCCGAGCGGACGCGCTGGTAAGTAAAATTTAGTAGCTACATGGAAAAGTATGCTGTTAAAATGAGTAGGTTTAAGAGTTTAGAACGCTGCAAGAATGTGGGAAGGGTTTCTAAAGTCTTAAAATATATACAAATACTAAAATAAATATAACGTTGCTACTTGGCAGATTTTCACTTATTGCAGTGGAGGGGGTGTCTGGAACCTAACACCAGCATTAAACGAGGGACTACTGTAAACAGAACACCACAAAGTGAATCGTGCAGAGCACCACCGTGAACATCCTGTTTTTGTCATTCTTTATAATCACCTGGGTATGGCAGGAACACGTCTGCCGTTCTCGTCAATGAAGTGGCCTCCGGCGTTGAGTACCCAGCGGTGATGGAGGGACATGAGGGCGTGTCTGGCTGTAGTGGGCGTGTCTTTTCCATTCTGAGTGTCTGCATTTTTCAGCGGGGAGAACTCATCCTCCCGCAGGACCTCGAACACAACAAAGGTCCTGTTGGAAGCACACAGCAGCCCATCATGTCACACACTGCGATGAAGACTAGAAAAGTATAAAAATACTAAAACCTGGTTCCCTTGTTGGCCCTTGTTTAGGGGTAGTTAAGTCATTGTTGGTTTTATTTTATTTATTTTTTGCACATTAAAGCAACTGAAGTTGGCCAACACAGTTAAGTCAAACAAATTATTAATTAGATATTTATTTTTTATTTCGGCTGCTCCCTTCTTCAGGGGTCGCCACAATGAACTAACTCATATGAAGACTTGGGAATTGTTTTTAAGCTGGATGCCCTTGACACAACCACAGACCACCGAGCTACCACAGCCCTCTGTGTGGAGCAGAGGACTCCCATCTAGGGCACCTTGGGGAGTAGTACACCTCACACCTGCTCCTTTTCAAACAGTTGTCCCCCTGCTTTACCACACCTGATTTGAATGAATGGGTGATGAACAGGCTTCTGCGGAGCTCAAGGTAATTAAATCACTGAATCAGGTGTGTTGGAGCAGAAAACAACTAAAACATACCGAGGACCAGAGCAGGGAACCACTGCTCCGAACAGTCTCCTTCGTCTTTCAGATGTAGGTGCGCAGCTGAACTGTTCCGACAGGAAACAGGAACACAGCTGAAGTTTTTATTAATGTGGCAGCAAAGGAAGTCGACCCATCTGAATTCTGCTAAAACCGTCAGTCTGCCACACCAGGCACAACTAATCCATCTTCAGTCCATCATTACAGAAATGCCTTTAACTAAATGTAAATTTTCATTAGCAAATGTGTGTTTCAGGGCTGGTGCCATGTGACACTAGAGGTGGAGGCGTGAGAAGACGGCTCAAAAACCTCCACCCTCCTTTGGAGTTTGGCAGGTGGGACCTGCTGGACCAGACCTTGGCGAAAAAGACCAGTTGAAGTTGAGGGACACACTGGCTGGAAAATGAGGGTTAGTTTTTGTATGTTGGAGCAGATCAAGGACCAGTGAAACCCTCGGGTAAAAGACTAAATGTCATCCACTCGTCTCAAAGTATAAATGGGTCTTTGTGGGGCGTTTTAGTTTGACACCAACAAACAGTGAAAACATTCAGTGACTTCTGGACAACTGTAACTCACTTGGCAAACTGGAAGATGTCGAAGACAAACTTTTCCATTTTAATCCCATTTGGTTTCTCTGGTGTGATCAGCCGACCTCGAGTGTCCACATATGGGATCTTCTTCTGGGCTATGTGGTGCTCCAGCTGTGGCTCGTATTTCCTGACGTGTGACAGCAGAACAAAGATCCTGAATTAAGATACTGTTCTTGGTGATGGAAAAGAGCAATAGAAACAAATGTATAAACTATTTGATGGTGTGGAGCAAACGTGTAAGAAAGCTTCACGCCTTACTGCACAACATCTCTGAGGAAAGAGAAGCTGAAGAAGTGGTTGGCCACGTTTCCAGCGTTAAACATTAGGCGGCCATCTGCGCTGCGCTTCTCGGCAGTCCCCAAGGTGATCTCACTGTACTCCACCACCTGATAACGCCCGTCCACCTTACAAACCACACCAACTGCCTCGGTTGGGTTAGTTTTCTCCACCACCTGGAAACAAAAAACAGGCAACTTTATACACAACCAAACCTTCTCATAGCATTTGCACTACAGTCACATAAAGCCACATCAAATGTAAAACAGTGGCTCTTAGTGATATTACAATGGGGAGGGTGGGGACTGCTTTGATCAGATCATCGTTACTGCAAAGGTTCATTATCTGGGTGCCCAAACACTTTAAAAAGTCTTCAGTTGATCCAAAATGCTGCTGCCAGAGTCTTAACTGGAGTTAGTGGGAGAGATCCTATCTCTCCAGTTTTAGCTTCTTTCCACCAGCTCCCTGTTAAATCCAGAATTGAATTCAAAATCTTACTTCAAACCTACAAAGCTCTCAACAACCTAGCTCCATCTTATATTCAAGATCTTATTGTTCCATATTTTCCCGACAAAGCACTTCACTCTCAAACTGCAGGCTTACTTGAGGTTCCTAGAGTTTCCAAAAGCAGAATGGAACCAACTTCCAGTTTCTGTCCATGAGGCCGACACATTGTTCAGTTTTAAGACTGGGATTAAGACTCTCCTTTTTGATAAATCCTATAGTTAGGGTTGGCTTGTTATGCCATTATAGGCTTAGACTACTGGAGGACAAATTGACCTAATTTCTGAAAATGAATTGTTAAAACTGAATAATTTTCATTTGATAATATTTATATCTTAATGTGATTCTTGACCTGCCATTGTGTATCTGTTCCTCCTTCCTGTTCCTCTCAAACCCAGCTGGTAGAAGCAGATGACCACTTGTCCTGAGTCTGGTTCTGCTAAAGGTTTCTTCCTCGTGAGGGAGTTTTTCCTTTCCACAGTCACCTTCATGCTTGCTCAATATAAGAGTTCTGTGATGGAGTTAAACTCAAAGCAGTCTGCTCCTCAGATGTTAACTTGTTTTTCATGTATATGAATGTTTCTGTTCAGTGACCTGAGATGACCTCTGTTGTGACTTGGAGCTATAGAAATAAACTGAACTGATCTTTCAATCTCAACTCCACCACATTTATTAACTAATTCTTTCTCTCTTAATGCAGGATGTCTGTTGTTTGCATCCAACCAATGTTCATGAAGTCACCAGGAAATGTCAGACTAATATTTATCCTCTAGAGGATAAGTTTAGCTTCCTGTCTGCATGACTGCACAATGCAAGAAAAACAAAACGACGGCAACATCATTGTTGAACATTGTGATAGTAGTTGCAGTGAATCTTCCATACTTCATTCTTCATCACAGTGCTCACAACACTGTGTGCTTCAGTGTCTCAAACACAGCTATCTAATGTTATTGCTGAGGGGGAGGCATCCGATTGCCAAATAGATGATAATAATAATAATAATAATAATAATAGTCTGTAGTTTGTCATGTACACAAACTTTTCATATGCAGTGGTAGTGTGCGCACTGCCATGTAAACTTCTTTTAGTTGACAGCATGACACTACAAAGTACTAAATACACCAAAATATGACTACATTTGATACAGAAAGGCCCAGACATGAGGCAAACGTGTTGGCCTCTTGCTGCAACAGATCTAGACACCGCTTTACCACGCCGCCACAGCACCAACAAGAAACAATCCATCCATCATCTTTACCTGCTTCTTGCTTTCCAGGTCCCAGGGGTCACTGGTGCCCATATCCAGCAGTCACTGTGTGAGAGGCGGGGGACACCCTGGACAGGTCTCCAGTCCATCACAGAGACATACAGAGACAAACGAGACAAACAACCATTCACTCTCTCACTCACACCTAGAGACAATTCAGAGTTACCAATCAGACCAACATGTTTTTGGGCTGTTGGAGGAAACTGGAGTACCTGGAGACGCATGCACGGAGAGAACATGCAAACTCCACCCAGAAAGGCCCCCAGCCGGGATTCAACCCGAAAACCTTGCCGAGAGGCGTCAGCTCTACAAACTGCGCCTCCAACAAGAATCAAATTAAATGTAAACGCAGGTCTTAATCAGCATCGGTCAAAGGAAACTTCCATGTGTGTTTTACTTTAAGATCCGTGTCCAAAAGGCAAAACATTTGATCCGACTGCTCACTTTCTACAATTCTGTTCAAGATAAGAAAAAGTCAAGTTCATACGTTTTCCTACTTCTTCTGAATTATACTTCGAGATCCTGTGTCAAGTTTTCTTCACTTATCACTTAGGTATGATTATCAAAAACAGTCAGATGTAGGAAGAGTGTGGCCTTTTAAACCGAGCTGGTGTCTTATGACCATTGATCTCAACTAAACTTTGATGGCTGTCTTTTAAAACTAAGTGGAAATATGCCAATTGTATTTTTTTTAACCAAACGCCTCTTAAATCCAACACTAGATTTTCTGTTGTTAGAAAGACATTTTAATGTTTTTATGCTCAAGTGCATAAAGAATATTTCCATTTTGACCCACAAATTATAAAACATTTATATGGATCCCTTTTTTATCTGCTGCATCATCCTCCATAAATACAAAACAAACAAACAAACAAACAATATATGGTTTTAAACCAACTTGTGATCAGAAGAGTTCATTAAATGTTCATTTGTTAAACGTTCCTTTATATTTTGCAATATAAATGCAAAACATACCTAATAAGTGTGAAATAAACAAAATATTTGCTATGAACACATTAATTTTAATACACCTTTATGGCTCTAACAACAATCTCAACCCTTTAACACTTAAAAATATATATATATATCTTCAAAAGCTAAAGTCTGATCTGTACCGACATCCTATTTGACCACAGTATCTGATGGAAAACAGACTTCTGGGTGGAGTTTGCATGTTCTCTCCGTGCATGTGTGGGTTTTCTCCAGGTACTCCAGTTTCCTCTCACAGACTAAAAACATGCATGTTAGACTGATTGGTAACTCTAAATTGTCCCTAGATGTGAGTGAGAGAGTGAATGGTTGTTTGTCTCTATGTGTCCCTGTGATGGACTGGAGACCTGTGCAGGGTGTCCCCTCTTCTCAAATAGTGACTGCTGGACATGGGCACCAGTGACCCCTGCAACCCAGAAAGGAAGAAGTGGGTAAAGATGATGGATGGATGAACAATATCTGAAAAGATGCAACAAATTTATTACTGGAGAACTTGAGTGGAAAACAAAAAGGTCAACAGCGCCTCAGTGTGGTGAGCAGCTGTCAAGGCCCCGACAGTTAAAACTCACCACACCTTTAATCCAACACCACATTCACCGTCAGACGTGACGTTCTCAGCACCGCCTGGAAAAACAAGACTGACGGATGAAACTGAGCTGAGATGAAAAGTGTTGTTTATTTTTGTCCCGTTCAACCAGTTATCTTTCCAGCAAAGATGGAGTTAAACTCAAAGCAGTCTGCTCCTCAGATAAATAATGTTAACATGTTATTTTTATATCTGAAGGTTTCTGTTCAGTGCCCTTAGACGACTTCTGTTGTGACTTGGTGCTTTATAAATAAATTGAATTGAATGTTATGTTTTTATTATCTTTGAGATAATAATAATCAGAGAGGTTTATTATCATCTGTACATAATTACAGATACTCTGGTCTGATAGAAGGTTCACTCTGGCTCCATGAGATTTTGAGTGTTCTGTAAAACTTTATGACAGAGCTGCAACTTTAAACTGTATAAATTTTCTTTATAATGTAGCATGTGATGCTTTGTTAGAACAAAATAAATATGAAAAAAAAAAAAAAACACTTTAGGCAGCCTTAATCCTCAATGAACTATAGATCTAATATGGAGCCTATACCATCTCAGCGGTTGTAGAAAGCTTTTTGAATAACCTGGATTTAGAAAAAATAAGTCTGTTTGGACTCATGAGCCAACGGTTTGAACACAATTTAATTTAAAGTGGACTGCCATCATTCTAAAACTTAAAGTGGACTGCCATCATTCTAAAACACAATCTCTAACATTTTATGGCCATTTACAAAAAAAAATAAAATCAATGATTAATAAGAGTAAAGAGCAGAAACTGTAGCACTGTAGGAACAGCATGAGGGCATTCACCACCAAATGTTAAATATTGGCTTTATTTGAAGATGCAACAATCCACTTTGGAAGTGATAAGTATAATCAGTAATGTCTAATCTGAGTACAAGTACTCCCAACGCAATTTGTGTGTTCTTAAAACCTCTTCCGTCATTAAAAAGAACAACCAACAGTTCATGTGGATGCTATTTTATAAATCTTTTGCGTTCCTGTTAGTTGTACATAACACTGCCAGAAAGGCACAAGTATAATATGAACCACTGCAGAGGTGGAGATGATTTAAGATGCAGCGACCTGCTTTGGTTTTAGCACCGCTCAGACTAGCCATTAGCTCATCAGTCAGGTTAGAAAAACCATTTACCCAAATTGATACGGTTTAAAAAGCCATCTACATCCATCCATTATCTTTACTCGCTTCGTCCTTTTCGGGTCATGGGGGTCACTGGTGTCCATATCCAGCAGTCACTGTGTAAAAGGGACACAGGGACACAGAGACAACCAACCATTCACTCTCTCACTCACACCTAGAGACAATTTAGAGTTACCAATCAGTCTAACATGATGTTCTTGGTCTGTGGTTTCCATGTGGCCCTGTGACGGACTGAACACCTGGTGTATCCCGCCTCTCGCACAGTGACTGCTGGACATGGGCACCAGTAACCCCAATGACCCAAAAAAGGACGAAGCGAGTAAAGATGATGGATGGATGGATGGATGGATGGATGGATGGCAATAAACTTCCTTTAGGCTGCTCCTTCTTCTGTGAGCACCCCAGCAAGCAAACTGCATACAATATTTGGCAATTGTACGTCCTTCCTGATCTGTAAAAACCAGGAACAGGGAAAAAGAAAGAAACAAAAGTAAAAAGCAGGATGTGTGACCAACCTTAGCTCCACAGTCTGCTCCTTTCTGCACACAAAACCCCATGAACGTTGGATCAGCCACTTTCACCAGGATGTTGTCAACACAGTAAACATGAATGAGCTGGATGCCTCTTCGTTCCATGTCATCCAGGATGCCCTGGTTCCCAAGAGATCTGTACAGACCCCCATTACCATCTGGAACAAAAAGCAGGCCCTTGTGTCTGAAATGATGTTTGAAAAGCCAAGTGAAGCTCTTGAATCCATTACTGCTGCTGTGGGCCTACCAGGAGCCATGGAGAGCGTCCCTTTGCCCTCTAAGATGATCTTGCCATTGTAGTCCATCGCTGGCAGCATGCCCTGCTGGAAGAAGATCACGTTGTTCTTCTCCAAACCAAAGTAGTTGTGCTGAGAGAAGAAATCCTTAGTGGATTCCATCGTCCTGCCGCTGGTCATGATGTACCTGAAGGCAACCAACAAACAGACTTAGGGAATATTTAAAAAAAATTATTATTATTATTAGTACGAGGCAGAAAACGTTAAAACTTATAAAAACTGCATCTTGAATGCTGAGTGTTGAATGACTTTGCTGAGCAAGCTGAAAGTGAGTCGTTACAAAATAAAAGAAGCTAAAAGGGGCCATAAGCAAAATGTAGCAAAATGCTAGCTAAAAGCTGGAGGCAGCAAAAGGCAGACCAAAACCTAAAAGTATCTAAACGTTAGCTAAAAGCTTAACATAACCAAACAGTAACTAGAAGCTAAGAGTAGAAAACAGCAACCAAAAAGCAGCAGGTTGTTAACTAAAAGCTAAGTTAAAATTAAGTAAAAGGCTAGCTAAAAGCTAAAAATAACAAAAGGCTAGCCAAAAGCAAACCAACAGGTCTGTTGATAAAATCTAAAAGAAAAGGCTAAAATTAAACTAAAATTAGCACAAGAAGACAAAAATAGATCCAGTATGCCGAAGCAAATTTTAAAGAGTATTTGAAGGAATGTGAGATCTTAATATTTATATTTGTTCATAAAGTTAAATATTTTGAGAAATAAAAAGTTACAAAAACAAAAAGTCCATCTAATGAATGAGCTGAACGTCTTCATTTATGAATGGTTAAGTATGCAGAAGTAATTTGATTTGCATAAAAGAAAAATAAAAGAAAGCAGGAAAACAGCAGCACATAATTAATGTGAAGAAATGAAGCATGCTTGGTGCAAAAGGAGCTCCCTCCCTCCCTCGATTAAAGTCATTTTGATGTTCACTGTAACCTGACCCACGATGACACATTCAGGTCATCCGTTTCTAACAAGACGGGCTGTATTTGGCAGCTTTGCTCCATTTCTCAGATCAGACCCTGGACTCAGCTACACAACAGTCTCAGTCTTAAAGCCAATGTCTCACCAGGGAATACAGCACTGGATTTTATTCTTCTGCTCGGCCAGCTGCTGCAGCTTCAAGATGCGCTCAGCCTGGATCTGAAAGAGAGTTTTGTGGGACGGCAGCCTGACGTCGTACATGCCTTTTGGGTACGGGACTCCCAGCCTGGTTCCCTGGCCCCCCGCCAGAAGTAAGGCTGCCACTTTATTCTGAGAAATGCAGTCAAGACCTGGAGAAGCAGCGCAAACAGTTTCAGTCTTATATGGATCATAAGCATCATAGTGTATTTCAATTAGTGAAAGACATTTAAATATCTGGACACCTTTAATGAACTCTAGCCGTCTTTGTGAGGAAATCATGGATTATTATTATTAATAATAATAAAGCAGATGGCATTCATTTTCCTATCAACCAACATTTTGTGGCCGTTCTAAATGAACCTTTGAGATACGACACTACGACTTTGAAACAGTTTATTGAGTCTTTATTTCCAGTATATCTTATATTGACCAGACTACGTGACAAGATATGCAACAATATTTCTACCTACAGTTGCCAAAAGACGTTTTATAAACATGTGCTGGGTGGGTCAGATAGACTTTGACTGCATTGCTCATTGCTACACACACCACAACACACACACACCACACCCTGCACACAGACGTAGTCATGACAGAAAACAATGACTTCACCACTGACGGTCAAAACTACATCAACCAAAAATCAAACCCATGTGTTTTTCTCTCATTAGGGAAAAACCTGGAACCAAATGACGCACTGGATGGCCAGATTTCCACAGATGGAAGGGGATTGCGCAAAATAAAAAATGAACAACAAAAGACCCCCCTCGCTCGCTCCCATTTCAAATATGCGCAAGAGAAAAAGACCAGAACTGAGCTGTGAGTTTATACAACCACACACAGACACTGCATAATGTTCATGCTCACCGACGAGAACTTTGACAAACATTTAGAAGGAAAAGCATTCTTAATAATCTGAAAGTCAGAACATACAAACGATTTTTCTTCTTGTTTCAGCTGCTCCCTTCTTCAGGGGTCGCCACAGCAAACTAACTCGCACGAAGATTTGGCAATTGTTTTTATGATGGATGCTCTTCCTGACGCAACCACAGACCACCGAGCTACCACCAGCCTCTGTGTGGAGCAGAAGAGCCTTGCTCAAAGGCCCAGAGTGGGGCAAATGAGGGTGGAGACAGGTGTGGGTGTTTCACCTTTTCCACCAACATTTTGATGTTGGTCCGGGGAGTCGAACCGGTGACCTGATCATAGACCGACCTTCTTTAGCCTTGGCGCCACCACTCCCCCACACCCATAAAAAATAAATAAAAGATGACCCACTGATCCATGTTAATATCACTGCATCTGAGCTACCATCCATCCATCATCTTTACCCACTTCTTCCTTTTCGGGTCACGGGGGTCACTGGTGTCCATATCCAGCAGTCACTGTATGAGAGGCAGGGGACACCCTGGACAGGTCTCCAGTCCATCACAGGGACACACAGAGACAAACAACTATTCACTCTCTCACTCACACCTAGAAACAATTTGGAGTTACCAATCAGTCTAACATGCATACTTTGATCTGTGTGAGGAAACCGGAGTACCTGGAGAACACCCACACATGCACGGAGAGAACATGCAAACTCCACCCAGAAAAGCCACCAGTTGGGATTTGATCAGCCGAACTTTTGGCTGAGAGGCATCAGCTCCACTAACTGTGCCGCCCTACGAGTTGTGAGCATAACTTGAAATATATGCGACACCACGTGATGTTGCTTTAACCCTTCTAATCTTTCCAGTCTGACTCTAGCAACTCTTCCCACTTACAACTGCATTTAAAATCTGGACAGTTAGTCATGTCAATCCACTGCCTCCTGCTTTCTGAAAGCGACTGCAATAAAACCATATACTAATTTAAATATACGCTCCTGCTTCCTTACACCTCGGGTCAAAGTTCAGCACAGACACGAACTGAATGTGGGACATCTGACTCAGCTCACCTGCAGCCTCCCAGGTTTTCAGATTGTCCCTGTCTCTCGTCACACTTCCAAGCACGTCACGGGGCACGGGCTCCATGCGGGTGTCCATCTTCTCATGTTTGCTGTTGCTGCTGGATGTCTCCATGGCCTTTTTGAAGAACCCGTTGATCTCCTGAAAGTCCATCTCCTGCAGGTCTTGGATCAAACGCCGCTGTTCTTTGGGGCCCAGCTGGGCCCAGAACTGCAGGAGGTGAGACTGGCCCGCCTCGGCCAACCTCTGTGTGAGTCCACTGGTGTCTGGGTCCATGATTAGCTGCGTTTGTCACCGACTCTGCTGAGTTAAAAATAAAAAAATGGTTACAATGACATCCAGTAAGGAAGAAATCCTAGTGCTTTAAATATAAACTATGCTTATATTAAAGAACCTAAACATAGTAAAATGAGAACTTTTAAATTAAAAGGGGTAAGTTCTAAGTTAATATTTAAAAAAAAAGACCTAACCCTACATTTCTTATCTCCTGGGTATTAATAACAACTCATCCAAAAGGCATTTGAAATGGAAGCTATTAAAGAAAAGTTAAAGTAAAGTTCATATTTCTTTTCTCTTGAACCCACACCCACAATAAGCAGCTTGTTGGACCAGGAAATCCTCTCATTACACAGTCACATGCTGATTATCAGCTCAATTACAACAATAAGTTATTTCAATAATTATACTTTTAAACTTAGGTTTCTTAGAGGACACGTCCTACAGAATATATCAAGTTGTGTTAGATTTTTTAAAAATCAAACCACTTGCAAAAAATGGTTCCATGAAGACAAGCTTGTTAAACAAGTCAATTTTATTTATCATCTTATGTTTGCTTTCATCAGTTGTCTCCAGAAGAAGCGATACGAGAGTATCAGACACACACGGCGACAATAACGAAGCGAGCAAAGACATTCACTGTTAACTCACCAAGTCTGAAGGACACTGAGGCCGCGGAGAAAATATTAGAGATAAAATTAAACAAATATTAACTCACCTTCGACAGGTCTCCGTCTTACCGTCTCGACCATGAATATTATCTGTTCCTACATTCACTCAGAATGCTTTAGTTACGACTCCTCCCACCGGACCACGCCTCCTGCTGCGTCATATTTGACGTGGCAACAGCCGCTGCGCGCGCCGTGGTACCTTCAAGCACTCCTCGTAAATCTACCACTCCTAGTTAAAAGTGTGGAATCGCTTTTCCTAGAAAATGATTGTGAAGCAGTCATGTAAAAATACATTTACCAGGAAAGGAGTGTTGTATTTAGAATAAGACTGTAAACAACTTTTATTAAATAAGAATAAATATGAGAAAATTATTTCAGTACATAGATTCATTCTAGATGTTATCATTGTTTTTCTTTTACATTTTATTGCTGGATGTAACTGGGACCCTGTGTACATAATTTCGTTCCACCACATGTGACACATGAAGTTACAGGCACTGACTCACAAAATGTATTGATCTTCACGGAAATAATGTCAACAACAATAATAATGTCAATAAGCTCAATAATTGAAACAATTTTGCCAATCTTATTTTATTTTGTGGTTTGACATGTGCACTCCCAGCTGTCCTCATTCTGCTCAGTTCTGTGTTGGTGGACTCTCTCACTCCTGCTTGAGTCACCATGATTAGTCAGTGTCTTACCTGAGAGAAGATTGGCTGAACTAAAGGCTGGGGCCATTTTCAACTATTTTTATATGTGAATGTGAGGCCCATGTTTGTTTGTTTAGTAATTCTTAAATATTATTAATATTTATTTTTGTTTACTTAATTTTATATTTATGTTCCAGGTTGAAGGTGCAGTCCAGTCTAGTGTAGGTTCTGTTCCACCCGTGTCTCGTTCATCACAGCTTGTGGGTGAATTTCTGCTCATGTGACCTTGAACCATCCTTTAGTCTTTTAGTTGACTGAACACTGGAAAGCCTCGGCCTTGGCTCAATATTTAAGAATCATTATTGCCTCCATTAGAATAGGTTTTTAACTTAGTGTTAATAAAATGTATATTGCATCTTGGAACAGTCTCCTGCTTACTTGTAAAGAAACCCAAGTGTCTTTTCTGTGTATAAATTATGTCCTTGGATGAAAGTCCTAAGGTGTTGTTGCAGTAAGTTTATAAAATAAAAATAACATCCATAACCAAGCTTGTTACATATTGCTCTAGTGTTATGTAATTAGTTATTTAAAGGTTTTTAATTATTTTAAACATTCTTCAATTAAAATACACTTGAGCAGCATACTGTACTGTTTTTTATTTAATTTGTGGATTGATTCAGTTGTATTGAAAGGAAAACAAGTGTAATTTACAATATCTACTAAAAACAACAACAAAAAAAACTCAACTATTTAACATTTTAACTGTAGACTATAAATTGATAGTGGATTACAGATATTTTTCCCAAAATTATGCTATTTTAAAGAAATTGGCACATTTATGTATTTTTCACGAGTAACAACTATTTACAGTATTTACAGTAATTCACAGCTTGAGACTGAATATTAAAAATATGAAGGAACAAAAGTGTGATTTGTACATTTTATTATTCTTACTGCATTGATATAAACACATGGATGAAGGTGTTGAAGTAAAACATGTCAGCAGACTCCACACTTCTTCTGCAAAATGGAAACAGCAGTAAGCCTTGGTTGTAGAAGCTGAACCCCTGCAGAACATCTGGACTGCTCCCTGGTTCTGGCCTCTGAGAAGACCAGTGACACTTGCAGAGATTGAAGATGTGAAGTGTGGACACAAAACACATGTTTGGAAGACTGCAGCATCAGAGGAAGAGCATGGAAGTGTGGAGCCATGTGGTCCAAAATGATGCTATGCAGGACTTCTCAGGTGGGCACTGGTAAAACATCTGTGAGCCCTGTGGCACAGGACCACATCTGGATGGTACCAGCTCCAAACTTAGGATGTGCGATAAGTGGTTGGGACTTCAGTTTCTCCTGCTGTCACCCAGTGAGATCTAAAACAGATAACTGTTTTTAGCACATACACATGATACTTGTTATAACATGTTTAGCTTTAAACAAGGAATAGATTGTAGTTTGAAGATGAGCTGAAACATCAGCAGAACAAAACAGACTTTGCTGCTTCCACAAACAGTAACCACTGAGCAGGAAGATACCATACCATACCATACCAATTTATTTATATAGCACTTAAAACAGCAACAAGGCCAACCAAAGTGCTGTAGATGAACAGATGCTGAGATATATTCATCAATTAAAATGGATTCTTCATTTTTCTGGACTGTGTGATGTGCATTGAATTTACCAGAAATGTGGACGTGAGACGTTAATTATCTTTGACTCACCAAGCGAGTGGGTCATTTATTAACAGAATCAAGTTTAACACATCACACATTTACATTAATTTGGCAGAATATGAAAACAACAACATAATTAATCAGCTTTACAACCAGGAAAACCATACGGCCATGATTTTCCGTTGCTTCACCACAGACATTAATGAAAACATCTGGATTAATTTTCTAGCAGAAAGGAGAGTTTAAAGATGGAAAATTGAGATTTATCTTACAGAGAGATGTGTGAGGGAATTTGTCTGTTTTAACCAGAACGTGCACGCTCCTTCGGAAATCAGCTTGTCCCAACAGTACACTTTTGGTGAAGGTCGACTTTTACCTTTTCTGAAGATAGATCAGTTCCGGCGTGGAGTCTCACTTCCAACCACTGTTCAGCGTCTCAGTGAGAACAGCTAAATACCTCGAGAGTCGTGCGAGGTTATCCAAACAGAAGTTATAATTCCCAAAATCGTCTCTGGTTCAGCTTGATTGGTTTAACAGCATCCTGAATGCCCGCATTCTGCATTCAGGAACTCCCAAACTCTCTGCATTCTGGATTCCAAAACTCCTGAACTCTGAAAACTCCTCGCTTGAACTGCTACTCCATCTTCAAGACAGAGCTTACAGCAGCTTCAAGACTGAGCTGAACTCTTCTGTGAACTCTCTGTGAACTCTTTTCTCTCTTCTGAACTAGGAAGTGCCAACCTTTTTAAGAAGGGTCACTTCCGGTTCATTTGAGAGCTTTTTGATTGGTCGATGGACCAAAGCAGAGGTGTGGTTTGTGATGTAAGGTGTTATTGAAAGTCAAGGATTGTTTAAGAACAGACAGAAAGATTGTTGGAGAAAACCAGTCTTAGTGGCGTCTCTACTCAGGTATCTTGCTGTAAAAGTTAAACATGACATTTCTTTTCAGTAAACTTTTTAGTTGACCGAAACCTGAACTCTAACACACTTACAAATTTGCTCCCTTCAAAGCAGACGATCAAGAAATTGAATCATTACTCTCTAACGTACTCTAACTTGATTTCACTTTGAATTGAGAATTAAAAATCATTACTACTGTTTAAGTAAATAAAAATGAGTAGTTCACTTCAACATGTAAACATTGTTTGAACTAACACAATTTGATTATCAAAACATTTGTAAAATAGTAATGATCATAGAGAATTGTCTTTTTCCACTTGATTAATTCAAGAAAGAAAGTCTCAGGATGGGTCAAACTGTATTTCTGGATTCAAATCAATGAAATGACAGTTTCTGTCCATCTGGTCAGTTTTGACATCAGGCCTAGTCCACTACAGTGCTGTACAAAAGAACCAAACATGCACAGCAGACAGGAAAACATAAAATAGAAATACATATACAAATAGCAGCAGAAGCTAACTAAAATGGCCAACAGAGTAGAGAACAGACCGGACCAAAACAAATCACACCGTGTTAAAGGCAAGCGAATAGAAGTGGGTCTTCAAGCGAGACTTAAAGACTGAGAGTGTGGGAGCCTGCCGGACACTCAGTGGCAACTCATTCCAGTCGTGGACCTGCAACAGAGAAAGCCCTGTCACCTCTGAGCTTACGACGGGTTTCTGGGACTGAGAGAAGCATCTGGTCTGCTGACCTCAGAGAGCGCGGTGGGACATATGGCTGCAGAAGATCAGTGAGATAGGATGGGGCGGAACTGTTCAGTGATTTAAAAACATACATGAGAATTTTGAAATGGATCCGAAGGTGAATGGGTAGCCAGTGCAGGGAGGCCAAAACTGGCGTGATTATAGCCTGTACCAGTTAAAAATCGGGCTGCAGCATTTTGGACCAGTTGTAGACGAGCAATGGAGGACTGACTGATTCCAAACAGAAGTGAATTGCAGTAATCAAGCCTAGATGTTATGAAGGCGTGGATCACTGTCTCGAGGTTCTTTTTGGAGAGTATAGGCTTCAGCTTAGACAGCCGTCTCAGCTGAAAAAAACAGGATTTGACCATCATGTTTATGTGACTGTTGAGTTTTAAGGACGGGTCCATTATCACCCCCAGATTAGTCACCTTTTGTTTCTCTAGCGGGGCTAGAGAGAATAGGTCAATGTCATAGTTCATGAGTGAGCCACTGGGATGGAACAGCATGACTTCAGACTTCTTCTCATCGAAGCTTAAGAAGTTTAAAGCCATCCAGTCCCGGATGTCAGCCAGGCAGTCAAGAAGAGGCTGAATAGAGCGTGTGCCTCTGTGCCTCAGGGGGAAGTAAATTTGGCAATCATCGGCATAGAAATGAAAGGGTATGTCGTGTTTGCGGAAGATAGCACCTAGTGGCAGCAGGTATAAAGAAAAGAGAAGGGGACCGAGGATGGACCCCTGCGGTACCCCCCACTGGAGTGCGGTCGATGCCGAACTAAAATCTTTGATATTGACACAGAAGGTTCTGTCAGAGAGGTAGGACCCAAACCATTTAAGGGCTGACCCTGTGATGCCCACCCACTGCTCCAGTCTAGAAATGAGGATATTGTGGTCGATGGTGTCAAAAGCAGATGTAAGGTCCAATAGGACAAGCAGCACAGAATCACCTGCGTCTGTGGATATGAAAATGTCATTAAAAACCTTCAGTAGAGCAGTTTCAGTGCTATGGAGAGATTTGAAGCCAGATTGGAATAACTCAAGGATAGCGTGATCCCCCAAAAACTGTTTCAACTGAGACTCCACAATTTTTTCCAGTAGTTTAGAGGTGAATGGGAGTCTGGAGACAGGCCGGAAGTTGGACATGACTGAGGGGTCAAGGTTAGGTTTTTTCAGGAGGGGCTGGACAGCAGCATGTTTAAAAGTCTTTGGCACCACACCTGAGGATAAACTGCTATTCAGAATAGTGAGGATAAAAGGACCCAGGGTAGGAAAAACTTCCTTTAGTAGTCGAGGGGGGACCACATCAAAGGGGGAACCAGATGGTTTCATGCTGCACATTACCTGCTCCAGAGAGGACAGAGAGATGGGCTCAAAGTGGTCAAACACAGCCACGCACTGAGATGGGATGGACAGATTATTAAATCTGTCCATCCCATATCATTAAAACAGAAGTCACTGGATTTGTAATTTATATATAAACAATGAAACACATTAGTACAAAAGCAAGTTAAGCATGGAAAATCTGTAGCAACAAACATGTAACATGCATTCAGTAACAAAAACACAAGATTATAACACGTGAACATCAAACATGAACAAAGACCACTAATAACATTAACAAACACAAACCATCTTGTGAAGAGAGAGGTGGTGATCAACACTACATGCGTTCTTCAATTAACCTCCGTGTGACAGGATCGAGCTGGAGATGTGTTTATTGGAGGCTTTTGGCTCCTCTGTTAGGCAGAGTACCTGGTTGTCATCATACCTACTGATATCTTTTCTTGGATTTGGCCAGTAGTACTTGTTGATACCTTTTTTATGGAGACAGTTCACTTCGATGTTTGCATCCTCCACTTTTGTGATGATGCCAGGGTAGTAGTCATGGTCATATTCAACCACACACCATCGACCGACCAGGTCACCTGTGATGATTGCTGGCCGCTGTGCTGCTGTGGCTCCATTCTTGGAAGGTTCCTCATCAAGTTGCAGGATTGCCTCTTTCAAATCAAAGCATGGACAGTCTATTTGTCCTTGCTCTCTCTGGCAAAAACAGGTGATATCCCAGTGGTGGATTTTCCCTTTACAGGTACTGATCACCTGGTGGATCCTCATTGTTCCCCTCACTGGAGTCCATGTGGGTACCTATGTGAAATGAAAACATATAAATGGCAAAGATATATGTTAATGAGTATACCTCAGAACTACTCTGGAACACTATTCCATCATCTGAAATTTTTATTTGTAGATGATTTCATGTAGGTAAATGTCATATGCATATCAGCAGTTTACCAGTGTCATAGAAATTGTACTAACCTGCTGCATTTCATCCACTTTTACTTCCACATTGTTCTCACTTACAAAGAATAGCTCCACAACTGATTGCTGCTGCTTGAGGAACCAAGTAGGTATCGTTGCAGGCAAATTCGGAAGGCGTATCTGGGCGGCCACATCTGATTGGACGATAGAAAAACGGGCGTATCCGGCCGACCACATCTGATTGGACTATAGGAAAATGGGCGTATCTGGAAGGCTACATCTGATTGGACGATAGAAAAAAAGGCTGAACGATAAAAAGCCGTTTGTGTTAACCAGAGCCCTGTAAAGAGAAATTATCTTTTTTTCCCCATTTCCTATATTCTCCCTAGTTTTATTATTTTATATCCTAGAACTTAAACAAAACTCCAGTTTTGATGCATATCTGTTGATAATGAACCAAAACTACTGAAACAGTGAGTATGCTTGTTAGAAAAATATTCCTGTCATCAGATCTCAGTTAGCTTCATTGCAGCTGAACACCGTGTTACACTGAACATCACATCAGCTGATGGACATAAATACAGTACAGTAATATTATATTCTCAAAATACTAACAATAATATGTTCATTTTACTTGTGAAAAGTTATCCCCCGAGACCTGACGTCAACAGTCCGTCGATTAGAACAGAAATAAGCTGCGAAGTGCTGAAACATCTTCTGCTTTAACCAAATAAGGAAGACCGCTCCAAGATGGCGGCCGAAAACCCTGCGCCGCAGCAGCCAATGAGGGATCTAGTGATTATATGATATCTATGGTGTTAACCACAGACACTTTATGTCTAAAAACAAGGCGTTATTGGCAGACTGTGTTAACCACAGGCATATTATGTCTATGGTGTTAACCGGTTCGACATTAGCGGCGTCTCAGGTTCAACATTGGCGACATCTCGATAACTTCTTTTTCCGCGTCTCTTAACACAGAACTTCCGGTTACATTTCAAAATAAGAGTAACATAACTGAGTAGTGGGGAGGGCTTTTTTTTTTTTTTTTTTAAATACCTAGCCATAACATTAAAAACAAAGTCCATTTTGGTTGTTGAAAAATGTGCAAATAGTTACAATCGATTCATAAAGAAAGAAAAATATTAATGATACTTAAACTGGCCTTGGGACAAAGGATGTTTCCTTTAACTTCACATTTTCTTGTTCAACTTATAAATCAGTCACTGCAGATGAGTTATTGTCAGTTTCTGTAAGATTTCTGCAACTGGAGCAGGTATTTCTGTTTACTGGTTAACTTCCTCAGCTGTTTCAGGTTTAAAGGGTCAGTCCTACTCCATGTTTCAGCTCCTTTCATAGATCAGATCTCAGAACACTTCTAAAGAGCAAATGTTGTTTTTAGCGTTTGTTTTGGGCCATTATCTGTTACAGGACTCATGATCTTTAATTGAGACCAGACTTTTAGGACAAATGGGAGCAGGTTTCGCTTCAGATGCTTCATATTTCATTGTATTCAGACCACACTCAAGCCAACCTGTGTCAGGTGCAGCCTACAACCAAGAACAAAAGAGAATCTTCTTGTGTTGACAGTAGAGTTAACGCTGGTTCTTAGAATCTGTCCTGTTGTACTGAGCAGTCTTTCAATAAGGATAATATGGGTGGTGCATATCTTCTGGCTGACTCTCTTGTGCTGGAATACATTTTGGGTGTGTTAGCGATGCTGTGGGTGCATCCAGCTCAGTGATATAAATACTAGAATATACGTCATTGGCCCAGCTCTTCTTGAAGGTGGGCCTAACGTTACCTGCCACTTTGCAGTGATTCACTGGACCAGCTCCCCTCTCACCATTGGTTACTTTCAAAGAAATGAACAAAACAAAAAGCCGCAACATGAATGTAACTTGTAATGCAACGCATTATAGAAATGTAGTGTAGTAGAAAGAACAGATACTTGATGTAAAATGTAGTGGAGTAAAAGTACCCACATTTAACTCTACTTAAGTAAAGTACAGATACATGAAAAATGTACTTAAGTACAGTAACAAAGTATTTGTACTTAGTTACATCCCACCACTGTGTGTATATATATATATATATATATATATATATATATATATATATATATATATATATATATATATATATACACACACATTTTAGAAAAAAATCAGGGTCAGAGAAACATGCGGACATGAAATGTTGCCGCAAAAAAACAATCACCCAGTTAAAAGTTTACACCACGTCTGTCTCAAATATACTTTAGCACACTAAATTAGACTTTATTACCATGTTTGTGTACTTCATATGTTGTAGCTAACGGTTAGCTCGCTAAGCTACGTCTGCTCTTACCTTGATAGCTGTGGATACACTCTTCATGGAATAACTTTTCTCCTTTCTCAAGTTTATTGGCTGAAGAATTCACCGCTGCCATTTCCTCCACATCAGCGAAAGAAAAGGCTGGCACTTCCATTAAGACCGGAAGTAACCCAGTGCCATGAGACGCAACTTTCGGTTGTCGTTTTTGCTAGGTTTTGTGCTGCTCTTCGTTTCTTTCGTATGGTTTTGTCTTCACTGGCAAATACAGAATATGAAGAAGTTTTTCGAAGACCTTAAAAAAGACCTCACGTTTAAGTCTGCGGGACCCGGGAAGAAGTTAACAGAAGATACGAGGTAAATTAGCACGCTTTTAATTTTTTTACAACATGCTACGGCGCTAACAGCATTAGGCTAATAGCTCAGGATTATTTTGATCTGCATGCGTGTTAGTGTTTAACGAGCTAACTGTTTATGTTATTATTTACTGAAGTAGATTACGTAACAGTCAAGTCGATCGTTATCGAGGGTTGGTCTTAGCGGGAAGTGTTCAGTCACGTGGTGTGTTTAATTACGTCGTTCGGCCCTTTCATCTTAAACCGATGCCTGTTTCCTCATCCGGAGTTGTTGTTGTCCTTCCAGCACCAAACCGCAGGTGGTGCAGAGCGACTCCAGCTCCAACCAGAACAGCCATGCTCCCGGTGAAGGAGCCCAGAGGGCAGGAGCCGCAGCCCTGGCCAGAATTGAGCAGAAGCCGAGGCCGAAAGTGCACGCGTCCAAGGCGATCAGGAACCAGGGTGAGGGAAGAGCTGAGCCCCATGACACTCCTCACACTGTGCTGTTCTTTAGGCGTCTTGCTTTAAGTCAGATTGATTAAATACTGGACTCGGTAAGAGAATTCGAGGAAAGAAATTAATTTATAAACGCCAAGAGACGGCAGTAGTGCAACATTGATGGATGCAAGCTGCAGTTAAAAACCAAAGAAGAAGAAGTCAGATTAGCTCAGAGCAGAGCCCTGAGAGAGTTGCGACACTCTTTGAACTCGCCGATACGCGGTCACGTGGTTCATGCAGCTCCCAATAGTTCCAAACAGCTCATCCTGTCAGCCAGTTTGAGCGGCTGCTGACGCAACATAACACAAAAATCGACTTTTCTTACTTTACCTGTGTCTTTCAGTAATTACTGAGCAGTAACGAACTGATTATTTCACACACTATGCATTTTATCAAAGCATTTTTAGAAGCGGCTGATACATTTATCATTACATTTTTTTAGAAGGGAACGAGTCTGCAAACACATATTTGTTAGAATTTTTTTTAATATGCAATACAATGATCAATATAGCCATGTCAGTGTTTTATAACGTTACACAGGATAAATAAAAGATCAGAGTAACACCTGTTATAAAGCTTATTCGTGATGTTCTCTGCTTGTCCTCCATGCAGCAGTTCAGATCTGCTCCAGCTTACCTCAGATCATCTGGATGAATTATTGATTTCTATAGAAGATATTAATTCAACCTTTATTTAAACAGGTTCGTCCCATTGAGCCACGAGGACTCATTTACAAGAGAGACTGAATATAATTGTTGTATTTGTCGTTTTTTTTATGGCAACCAAGTACCTGATAACTGAGTTGATTGTAGCCTGACAACTATTGTAAAATTAATTCATTGATTAAAATGTTAATTTAAATGAAACTGTTTCTAGTTAAAATCATAACAGATGACAAAATAAGTGTTAACTGTGCAAAAATAAATTAACAATTTATTATAAAATATGTAAAATGTAAAACAAGCTTTAATAAAGTACTTTTACTGCCATTTATACTGTTTATTAATGACATCATCTCAAGTCAGCAGGAGCACCACCATCATCATCATCATCACAACAACACAAAGTGAGAGCTGTAAATTTAATCTGCACAAACATTTTCAATCAGGGCTCAAAATGTTTAACTGTCAAAGAAATGTGCAAGAAAATAAACTAATGTTGCTCTACAGACACATTTAGAGAGAGGACAGTTCACAGAGACACAGTGAGGACGAGTCAGACAGAGACACAGTGAGGACGAGTGAGACAGGGACACAGTGAGGACGTGTGAGACTGAAGGAGGGTCAACCAGTTGTTCATGGACCAGAACCAGATGAGAAGAACAGCAGAACTTCCACTGACCAGTGACCTGACCAGTGATCTGACCAGTGATCTGACCAGCGACCTGACCAGTGATCTGACCAGTGATCACACATGTTGTTCTAAATTAAACTTTGGTACGAACAGTGTTAAATAAGACACGTCATATTTTTATTGAACATTAATCTTCATTCTAACAGTGACGTTGTAATTTCAGAGACTGAGGAAGAAACAGAAATGAGGCGAGTGAGATGAGGGAAAGATGAAAATGTGTCCTCAGAGGACGGGGACATGTCAGGATCTGATGATCCAGGATCAACAGGGCCAGGATGGATCAACAGGCAGTCAGGGAACAGAGATGAACAACCTGAGGAACAATTAGAACACAAAAAAAAAAAACATAAGCAGGATAGAAGAAACTCAGACAAGAAAATTAACTCAGTCCTGCGAAGAAAAATATTAACAATGGAAAATAAATTGACATATTTTTACAAAAGATCAGATGAAGACAACTGGCATGAAGAATAACTTCCAGCTCCATCTCAATGTACCTGTGATAGTTTAATAAGTGTTTTGTTACTGTCCTACAGTTTATTGATGCTGATATATTCTTGTAATAATTCTTATTTCTTGTTCTGTCTTGAAAGAGTCTCATCTCAACTTGACCCATGATTACCAAACGCTAAACTAATAATATAAAACTAATGTAAATGAACAGTCCTGCAGTAAATACCAACTTTGTGAAGGTTATGGTGTTAAAGTAATTTTATTCAAACATCTTGATTCAGCTGTTACTGATTAATAGAAGACAGAAAATGAGATCTTGTACCTTTGTGATACTTTGAATGCAACATTCAGTTCATGAAGTCATTCTCCTCTGGTTTACCTGGAAAACATGAAAACATTGACTCATCTCCACAATCACGTTTTTCTTTAATGATAATGTCACAATTTATGCTGCAGTCTTTGACAAATGATCTATAACTTTAACTAAATTACATCAATCTTGTTGTCATGTTGTCATCATTCTTTGTTAAATCAGGTCTCTCTTGTAAATGAGTCCTCGAGGCTCAATGGGATTTACCTGTAGAAATAAAGGTTGAATGAATCTCTCAGAATAAAAAAGGCCAAATATTTTCTAGTTGAGTTCAGTAACTGGAATTACCATAATTTAAAAAAGACCACCTTTCAAAATTTAAGCAGTAATAGATATTTTAAAACGTTGAATTAGAAATCGACCCGTTTAAACCGTCATGTTGCAGAGCAGCTGCAGTTAAAACACAACTAGCAATTTAACATGTTTCATTAACTAAAACTGGAGACAAGAAGTATTAATGTTGATAAATCGTGGTACAGAACAGTCAGATAACTCTTCACAATGGCAAAAAAGTGTCGTATTTTCATCAACTTACCGGAGAAAACGCGGAGAATGAACTACGTTCAATGCTGAACCACTGCTGTTTGGAACTATTTGCCGCTGCACGACCCACGTAGCTTCCGCATTCCATTCTTCTATGGGAGTGTCGCAACTCTCTCTTTATGGGGCTCTGGATCAGAAGCCTGAGAATACAAAGTATTTCCGGTGTTTGGAGGACTTTGAGGTTGGAGTCAGACAAACATTTAAAGGGCGGTAGGAGCTGGAAATTGTTTGGTGGACTGCATGAACTGAGCACTGACTGTAGCACCATGGCCTCCACTTCAGGTGGAAATGAAATGGAATGGATAAAGACAAAATCAGCAAAAATGAAAAAAGCTCAAAGGAAAAGACATGAAAGAGACAGAAGCTGGTCAGAAGATAGCGCATTACGAATAGACACAAGTAAAAAGACCAAAACAAATTCAAGTCCAAGGAAGCAAACACAGGTGGAGTTAATCAGGGAAGATGAATGGAAAGTAATGGTGGAGTTTAATCAAGAGGGAAGATATTTTCATCCGATAAAATTAACAAAGGCAATAGAGGAAGAGCCGGGCAACTCCAGAGGAGGGCACCGGCGGCTGGGAGCGGTGAGGTCGTTGATGCGAAACAAGGTTGGGGGGGGGGGGGGTGAGCATTCACTCAGCCCCCCTCCACCGACACTACGCTCTCCAGGAGGGAATGAGCAGCGGGGGGGCTGCTGCTGACGTCGCCTGTCCCGGAGGAACCATCCGATTCGCTCCGAGGGCTGGCGATAAGAGGAAAATTACAAGATGGTGTCGTCCAGCGAGTAGCGACCTGTCACTAAGAAATACTCCTCGGCGCTTACCTTGAAACAAGACTGCTCGTCTGTTTCTCCTCGGGGAGGAGAACTCACCGGGACGACATGGTTGACGTGGCGGGGCCACAGGCAGTCTTAACAAAGGTTGGTCAGCTAGACAACTTTCCTTCTTCGTTCTTCTGACAGTGCTGTTAGCTCGCTGAAGAAAAATGGGAGCCGATCACCCGCTCTTAACGTAATTTATATGGACCGGGTGGGGCCCACACAGCAGGTGGGCGTGGACTAAATTTTTCAGTGTAATGCTCCGCATGACGGAATAAACCCACTAAGCGACAGCCTTAAAGGGCGAAGCCTATACGAAATAGAACTAATTTCATCATTGTACAGGAACATACAATGATGACAAGTTGGCACTTATTATGAATGCATGGCACTTGAAATATAATCGCCTATGATCAGGGCCAGATTAACACTTTGCTGTACCCTGGGCAACAATCTTCAAGGGCCCCATCATCACGACCCCAGAATCACCATAATCTGGCAAAATACAGAATAAATTACCATAATATACAGTAAATATACTTAAAATTCTAACTGTCAAGTGTATTTTTATGTATAAAACTCCAAATGCTCATTGGCACAAATCATGAAGACTGAATTAAGTTGAACGCACTTTGAACACCACATGACACCATATGTACTTGTTTAGTAACGTGTTGGCCACTGGTGTCAGATGCATTTATAATGTGTGTGTGTGTGTGTGTGTGGGGGGGGGGGGTGTCTGGGGGTCCTCCTCCTCCAGAAACGTTTGAATAAAGTAGATGTCATTTCCTGCATCCTGGTGTATTTTAATGGTTGGTTAACATCTAGTTTTACCTACATAAGTAAACACTTGGAACACCTTGGGATTCCCCTGGAGGAGCTGGTCCAAGTGTCTGGGGAGAGGGAAGTCTGGGCCTCCCCACTTAGGCTGCTACCCCCACGGATGGATGGAAGGAAACACTTGATTCAGTAACTATTTTAGAGCTAATGGCACAACAAGAAGTAACCTGACCAACAGCTGATTCAATGAATTAAAAATATTATATAATCAAAGGTGATGATTTGATGCCCACATTAAAATTAAATGACTGTAACTTAGTTGACTTCAAATGCAACAAGATGATCAATGAATGTTTGAGACAAAGTATTTGCTGATTATAACAAAGATTCCTTCAAGAAACCTCCTAATATAAATCATAAAACCAGAATGACTTCTGCTCATTCTAAAATTGTCAAATGGTCTAAATCTCCTAAAGTGAATGAGAATCATTTAAAATAATAAATAAAATATATCCTGTAGCCATGATTCTTGAAAGAAGATTAAAATTTGAGGTTGATTTTTGTGCCTGTTGTAAATCACAAGATGAATCCCTCGAGTATGTTTTTTTCATGTCAATACAAAGTGTTTGGTCAGACATCAGAAACTGGATTAATCTCAAACTTAACATTCCTTCTTTTCATGCTGATGCCATTTTACTTTACGTGGATAACTGAAGCTCAGCTTTCTCTGATGCCATAAATATAGTTGTACTTATAGCAAAGCACCACATTCTCTGTAGTAAGAGGAGGGATAATAAGTCCTCCTTCCTGTTTAATGAACAATTTTAAGTCGTACTATTCTTCATTAAGTAGATTAAAAAACTGCAAAACTGCAAGAATCATCTCACAACAGATACAAACTTATTGTTTTAATTAAAACCATGTTTTTCAAGAAAAAAAACCTGATGAGCTTGTCAGCAGGTAAGGGGCGTTTACCTTGGGGACAAATTGAGGTTGTCGATTGGTCAGTTACTGACACGCCTTCTGGGTTGATTGACAGGTCGCGCTGTCGAGGATCCGATTGAGGAAACAAAAAAAAAACGAGAGCTGCAGCATCCGCGCTGGGAGGAGTCGGGGCTGCACAAATGCAGCGCAGAGCTCCAAGTAAAGCAGGAGATGACCAGATATTTTGCTTGTGCCCTCACTGCCCTGGGCCCCTTAGAGATCATGGGCCCCTGGGCAGTTGCCCATATGGTTAATCCGGCCTTGCCTATGATTCTTTGTAATATTGACATTGCACTCACAGATGTTGGGATATATTTTCATTATATTGTATAGATCCAATGCAAATCTCTTTCAAAATGTATATTCCTACAGGAAAATGTGCAGTAAAATGTCTAAGATACAAAGACAAAACACAGCATGATGAAAACTAATGCAGTGTGTTGTTTAGTAGATAAAGTCTTTAATGGAGGTGTAAAGTTGGATACTAACTGAACAAATGTGTTTTGAGATGTTGCTAAATCACCAGGAGTGTCCTGGTAGACTGTTCTACACTGATCATTCATAAGCCTTTGGGCAGCGGGTCGGCTCATCTTTCTATTAACATCTGTTTTTTTCTGCATTTCCTTGAAGTTAAAAGAGAACTGGAGGCTGAGGCAGCGGCCGTGGCTGAAAAAGACGAGGCGTCTGCAGCAGAGGTGCGTTCCAGTTCACACGAGGACATCTAAAACAACGCAGCTTTGAAACATTTAATTTGTTGGGCAACACATTTAACATCTTTGACTGATGTCCAGGGATCCAGAGTGAAAGAGGCCACCTGCCTGTCTGTGTCCGGTGTTTATTTCATTTGTCCTTTCACCGGAGCAATGTTAACCAAAAGTGAACGGGAGGCTCACATCAAACAGGCCATTTTAATGGTATGTCTCTGAGGAAGTAGGTACTTGTTCCTTTTTAGATCTAATCAGGACATATATGTAGTTTTAGCAACGTAATAGTGTTACTTAATACTCAGGTGAGATGAGGCATTGTTGGTTAAAAAACACTGTTTTCACCGTCAGCGCTTTGACGAGGATGTGATTGAAGCGTCTGTTATGATGATCCACACGTTTAACAAGGACAGAGAGAAGGTGAAGGCAGCTGTGGACATCATAAGCAAGTAAGACTTGATTCACAACAAGTTATTTCTTACAGATTAATGTCTCCGTTTACATGTACATTCTTAACTGCCTATCTTTTTGTATGTTTCTTACTTTTTTTTTTGCTAACAGATATGTTGAAAATATATGTAAGAACCCCACAGAGGAGAAATACAGGAAGATTAAAGTCCGCAACAAGGTGTTCCAGGTGTGTATGAAACTAGCATCTAGAGCCAGTTTATCACCTCCCCCCTCCCACTGGACTGATTATTTTAAAAAAATCATTCATCTTATAGGAAAAGATTTTTCTTGTTGAGGGCTGTCAAGAGTTTCTGCAGGCTTTGGGCTTCATGAGCGTTCTGCTTCCTGTTGAGGGCCGAGGTAGAAGCACCTTCCTGTTTTTATTCAACATGTCTGTCATGGCTACTTGATCATAGTTAGATCAGCGTTGTTTTTTTGTCTTTACCTGTAATGGTAATCAAGAGGAAGAAGAGGAGTTTCTGGTGTTACCAGAGCAGAGTGCTGACGCTCTGGAGCTAATGATGGAGCGCAGGGATCGCCTCCAGAGAGGAGAGCCGGTCAGAGCGCAGCTGGACCGGCAGGCTCAGGCTGTTAGGCCTTCTCCTAACGCCCAGCGCTTTGAGCTTCCACCAGAGTTCTACAAGCTGACGGCAGAGGAGCTCAAGCGGGAGCAACAGCTCAGGTTTGTTTTCTAAGTTATGTGCTTTTCTTTGGTTGTTTACATCCTCCACCGGTGTAGAGATATTTGTTAATGGATTCTTGTTCTGCTGTTTCGTGTGCTTCCTGGGTGTGTCGGACACCTCCACTCGTTAGCGTCTGTCTGTCAGAGTGTAGTGAAGGAGCTGAGTCCTTTGTGTGCTCCTCAGGACTACGTTAGTGGCGAAGAACGCCATGCTTCGCACTAAAGCCATGAGGGAGAAGGAGAACCGGAGGGAGAGAGGGAAATACAACTACACCCTTCTCAGGATCCGACTGCCTGATGACAACCTGCTGCAAGGTCAGTCATCAAGAACTCCACCGTGTGAACGTTTGTGAAGCATTCGCTCTATTCTGACCCATTTTTCATCTCTCGTTCCACAATGTTTGTGCTACTTCAACAAGTCATACATCAAAACGTTCAGCTCGTTCAGGACAATTCTGCTTTGACTTTTGGTATTGGTGTAACTTTAGCTTTTTGAAATATTTAGCCTTTTTTGACCATTTTTTTCTCAGAGAAAATGAATTGATCTCATCTTACATCAATCATATTTTCAAATGTGTTTACAACCTTTTCCTGCTCCTTTCACATTTTGTTCTGGTTCAGCTTCTTTCTGCAAATTTAAACATGTTTGAGCATGCATCAGGATGTTAAACATGTTTAGCTACTTTCGGTTGTCTGTTCAGCTGTTTTGTGCTCCTTTCAGATACTTTCTGCTAACTACAACATTTTTGTCCTTCTTCTAAATTATTTCAGTTCCTTTCAGCTTATTTCTGCAAGTTTCAGCATTTTCTGTTATTTCAGCTACTATTTAGCTATTTATGCTAATTTTTAGCTTTTTCAGCTAATTCCACACTTTTTGCACTTCAACTTTTTCCAGCCTAATTCAGCAAAAAAATGTGCTCTCTCCATTTCCTTCTTGCAATTTCAGCTTCTTTCTGCTTTTTTAGTTACATTTCAGCTTGTTTTTGCTAATTTCAACTTTCCAGGTAATTTCCACTTTTGTGCTCATTTCTGATTCTTTCAACCTAAATGGGCAAAACTGTGCTCTCTAGTTGCTAATTCAAGCTTGTTCTACGTTTTCAGCTAATTTTTTTTAGCATTTTTAGCTAATTTGAACCTTTTTCAGATAAATTCAAGTTTTTCATGGTTATTTCTGCTACTTTCAGCCTAATTAACTTCTTTATGCTAATTTCAATTTACGTGTTCAGCTTATTTCTGCAAGTTTCAGCATTTTCTGCAATTTCAGTTAATATTTAGCTGTTTTTATGCTCATTTGAATTTTTTCAGCTAATTCCACATTTTTTAGCTAATTTCAGCTCCTTCCACTTCGTTCTGGCGGTTTAAGCTTCATTCTGCCTTTTCAGCTATATATATATTTTTTTGGCCAATTTCAGCTTTTTAGCTAATTTCCTCTTTGTTCTAATCTCTTCTCATTTAAACATAGTTCAGCAAATATTTGTCTTTCTTCTGATAATGTCTTCCATTTTCAGCAAGTTCTTCTGCAATAAGCATTCACCGTGCATTTTCTCCAGTATAAACAACACACGTTATCTTGTTTTTGAGGTGAATGATTAGTACGGATGATGTGTGTGTTCCAGGCACGTTTTACGCCTGGGACCGGCTGCCTGCTCTCTTTGAATTTGTACGAGAGTCTCTGGTGGACGGCTGGCAGCCCTTTGAGCTCATCGCTCCAGGAGGTCAGAAACTGCAGGAGTCCGAGGAGCTCTCGCTTGCAGAATCTAACTTGGTGAGGACAAGAAGCAGCAATCAAAATAAAAATGGTCTTACAGTGAGGAATGGACCAAGAAACACTATTTTGTAGTGTTATGTTCAAGTTCTCTCATTTTCCGTTTACTATAAGAAAAGTAAAACAAAGTATTTATCTTCAAGCCCACGTATATTTACATAAATCAAAGATGGAGGTCCCATGCCGACACATTTTGATGATCGTGTTCCTGTTTGGTGCAGGTCCCTGCTGCCCTGCTCACATTTGCCTGGGATGCAGCTGTGCAGGCTGACATCGCTGCTGCAGGTGAGAAGAGCCCCACCCTCCTGAAACCAGAGCTGATGGAGAACATCCGAACGCTGAACTGAGAAGTCCCGCCGATTACCCCTCCCCATTTCCTTACCCCGTGCTGGGAGGAAACTGTTACGTCTAGTGATGCATTTATTTTTACAAATTATAATCAACGATAGAACGTGGGGGAGCGTCGCCTGGATGGATGAGCTTTGAGTATATTTTTGTCCTCGGATGATATCAGCAGCATTATGAACACACAAACATCAAATGTTTGTTTTTGTTGTTACGTACTGAACCCTGTTCAAGTCACGAAAGCTTCATTTTGTTCCCATCAGCAAACTGTGCTGCTCATCAGTGCCGTGGTTTTATGGAAGTCTGGATGTGATCTGTTCAGTGTTCAAGGTGGATTTTAGTGTTGATGGTCCGGCTTCTCCTCCCATTTATGCTGTACAACACATTTACATCAAGACCAGCTAATATGATCATCTTCTGGCTTATCGCTGATAAATCTTAGAGCAGTTCAGATTTGCTTCAATCTGATCAGTCATTAGCACTTTAAAGGAACGGTTCTAGCTGTAAAGAAAACTAAATTTAAACATCAAACCAAAAAAAGTGTAATTGTTGAAAGTTAGGAATAATCCTCAATGACCAACCCCCTCTGGCTTGAACATAATCACAAACTGCTTTTTTCTCCAAACCTTTAGAGAACATATTTTTATGCCAGCTTTTATTTTGGACACTTCCTTGACATTTGAAACATGCAGAACCTGTAATACTAATTCAAAATTACACTAATGATTTTATTTTACATAGCTAGTGTGAAATTAAAATAAATTGTCGTTATTAAATATATATTTGAACTTGCGCAATAGAAAACAAGTTTATTACAGCACTATAGATTAATGCTGTCTGGGTTAAATTTGGTAGATAATGAACCTGTGATCGGAAGGTTGCAGGTTCAAATCCCCAGATTGGCTCATACAATTTGGGTGGGAAAAGTTAAGCACTTATTTGCTTCCACCCTTTTTGGCCCTACCGTGGGCCCTTAACCCTCCAGCTGCTCCCCAGCACCTGAAGTAGCAGCTCTGCTCCACGTGTGATGAGAAAAGACTGAATCAATTTCCCCATTAGGGATTAACAAAGTAAACATTGTTTAAATGTAATATTGCCACAGTAATTTATTGAAAAGTGTTAAAACTTGACCCCTTCAAGTTTCATCATGGTTGGTTAAGATGACTCATCATTCAAAGTCGTAAAATCCTTGAGTTGTGGGCAACCGTGAAAGAATTGGATCTAAAGACAGTATTTGCATCTGATCAAGTTACAAGATAAAAATAATGTATTTGTGCACATCTTGAGCATCTACCATTGATTTGTTTGACGTGGCTGTATCCGTGACCAGATGTGTCACAGGAGGGTTGAAATCCTTAAAATGTGACTTGTGTTAAAGAGCATTGTGATTTAAATACGCTTTGTTGCTTCTGAAGCTGCCTGGATGACCACGCCCTGCAGATTTTATCTAATAAAACATTACATTTCTATAGCTTTGAGTTTTTAATGTGGCGTGCACACACAAGTATTTCACTGTGTTTAGGTTAAATCAGAACTGGAGGTTTTTTACAGGTGAGGTGATGCAGCTCCATTACTTCTTATAGATATAAAAACAAAACAGCAGTATTTTAGTTGAAAGTTGAGCCTTTAGACAAAAAATAAATAAATGTTTTGACATTTCTACTTTATTTCTGCTGCAGTGTGAGCAATGTTGCCTCCTAAAATTAAAATTATTTTGAACACTACAATAAAAACAAAGGATACACAAAAACTGAATTTGACTCGACAGCCTGTTTATTAAGGACCTTCTGACTGAAACTTTTATGTAAACTTGAGTTTTACTAAAAGTGTTCATTCTAATTTAGGTTCAGCTTTGAGGATTCACACTAAACAGGATCTGAAATGGTCCCTTTAAAAAAACAAACAAAAAAAAAAAACTACACATTTAATTGAAGTGCAGTACAAATTCATAAACTGCAGCATTAGAAATTCATATTTTTCTTTAGTGTTTTTGTCCACAGTCACATCCTATTTATTTACACCTGTCGGAGGCAGCGAAAGAGAATAAAACGGCTAAAAGGTGCAGTATTTTTATTTACGTTTAATGATTTTGTCGTGTTCAAATAATCTTGAAACATACAGAAATACATATTTATAAAACACTGACACTGTATCTAACTGTACAAGTACAGATCTCTCAGCTACTCCAGTGGTCAGATTTAGAAACAGCAAAATATATGAAACCACAGAGATCCCAGACATGTACATATGAACTTTAAGCCTCTTGTATCCCAGCACTGACTTATTATAAACTACCGTAGTTTCACTCGCACCACACGAACACAAATGTGTTGGGGATAAAGAGAAAACTTTGTGTTTTTATTGATGTAAATACTGGTGAAAAATAATTTCTACTCATCTTAGCCCTATAAACTCCCAGTCCCTTTGATTAGTTCTTCAATCTTTAGATTTTAAATCAAATGTTTTGAAACAAAAAGCATAGGGAGGGGTGAGATGAGTCAAAATACCAAGACTGATGTGCTTTTGTTTCATGCAGGGTGCTTCTTTTTTCTTGAGGACTCGGTTTTGATCGCAGAGTTTAGCACCAGGTCGGGTGCGTTAATGGGAAAATATAATCAGTGTGGTTCTGGTGAAAAGTCTCATCGGTCCTCAGGCCGAAGAGACTGCATCTGAAGCCGAGGGGGTGACCTCCATCAGACCATCTCCCTCAGAGGGGTCCTCTCTTTTGGTACCTAAAAGGTCACGCATCATGTTATATTTACCTGAAAATATGTGCATTTGTGTTTATGCAGTGAAAATCAACAATAAGCTTTCCTTAAAATTCATTTTAAGTAGCTCACCACTTTGTGTAGAGATGATGACGCAGTCTTCATTACAGTCTTCCTCAGTGTCAGCCTGAAAACCATCTGCTTCAGTCTAACAGAGTCAAACAAAAGTCAGTCTGTAAATTAAAGGTTATAATCCTTAAAAACACAGATTCACATGGATTAAAGCAGAAAAACACAACTTCACTGGATTGTTTCTACACCTAGAGGTTCCCCCACATCTGTAGTGGTTTAAAACTCCTCTTGAGAGTGGGTTTTTGTTATACACAGAGTGAATGCCACATGTAACCACATGGTCAGGGTTTAAAATTTCCAACCATAACTCCACCCACTCTGTCATCATGTGACCAGAAGTCTAACATGAATGACCAATGAGGTACTCTCCAGGACCATCCCACAAGATGTAATTTCTTCTGTTCCAGTATTTTGCACTTCATGCACAGACCTGTTCATCTGCAGCGATAATGGAAACCACAGAGAATTTATTATGATGCAGCGTTCAAGTTAAAAGCTGTCGAGGAGGAAACAGCTGCCGAGTGAGACGGAGATGGAGTGTCATCACGTTTTTCTGAGCCTCCAAGTAATTTACAGGAGGACGAAGAACATAGTGATACGTGATTTTTGGTCAGCTACTATGAACTTGACGTGTTAAAGGCAATTTTCAGAAAAAAAATTTGTACGGTAAACATGTTTAAATACCGCAACGCATGAAACACAGCGGAGGAGACAACGGGAGGCTCTTCTCTCTCCTCCCTCCTCATGAGCAGAAATCACGTCAAATTTATTTAGAAAGTACATTTAAAAACAGCAGCTGTTACCAAGTTAACAATAAAAATCAATGGTAGTAATTTAATGAATATTTACCGTATTTTACCGGTACTATGTGACTCCCACAACCTCGATAAGAATTGTTGGTAAAATTGATTGGTATGTAATCTTTAAATAATTTTGGTTATGTTGGTGTTTGGCACCGTTCTGTCCAGTGATTATTTCAGAGAGTTCTTGTGTATATCATGTAGTTGAATGGCTTGAACCACGAGTCAGACAGCGAAGCATCACGAAGACTTGTGACCATCACCAAGCCACAGTCCATGAAACGCCATCCAGTGGCTGAATCTTGTACTACAACAAGAAAGATTCTGGATAATGAATGGTAGATACCCTTACGGCAAGTTTAATAATTTCTTACATTTCATCACCTTCATGGATGGTGAGTGGTTCCATTAGGGCAGCTTGACTTGCTGCAAGGTGAGCCTTCACCTGCAGTTTCTCTGCTGCTCACACCTGGGCTCACTCTGATCGGGTCAAACTATGACTTAGGCTTTCTATATTGGTTAAAAGCAGCTTCAGTTTAATCCCTGGATCCTCACTAGTGCTTAGTGTATTTTTAGTTAACATTTTTCTTAGTTCATATCTTAGATCTTGTTACTGTTTTTCTTTTACAACTTATACTTTTGCTGGATGTAACTGGGACCCTGTGTACACAATTTTGTTCCACCACATGTGGTGCATATGACAAATAAAGAAACTGACTCATTTTTACAGATGACGCAAATCTGTTCTAGCCACGTTCAAAACAAGGGAAATCTGTTGTGGCGACTGAGAAGTTTAATCCCTGTATTCAGTACATTCAAAAGTATGAAAACAAGTGTTTTACTACCTGCTCAGAGGAAGTAAATCTCTTCATGAACTTGGTGATTGGCAGGCTGCCG